TTTTTCCCCTTTTTTTTTTTTTTTTTTTGGCACTGCCAGACTCTTTTTTATTGGCCACTCAGAGCTACATTAGCTGTTGCCACCAGGAATTCTGCTTTTCCTTGTGCTGTCCTTCCTGTGTCTCCCAGCTCTGCAGAGCAGACTCCCAGGAACACAGGCCTTGATCCGAGCACTCTGGGAGCAAAGGGCCCTGATGGCTCTGCAGCCGTCTGCTGGGAACCGCGCTGGCCACGGCCGCCGCTGTCCTCACCGGTCACGGCAGTCCGGGGTCCTCCCTCCAAGTCGTGGCCACCTTCCGGGCTTGTCCCCAACAATCTTCCTGCACCCTGGCCTCCTGACTGCCCCGGCCACGCCCACAGCTGTCTTTCCCCACAATGTTGCAGACCTGCCAAGGCAGGCCTGACGGCGACCCTCCGAGAAATTCACTCTGGGGTCCTCTTTGACCACAGCGGCTACGCGGAAGCAGCTGCAGCTTCGATAAGGGCCGTGGGTCATATATTCTCAAAGTTTTCTTTAATTCTTCATCAAAAGCCAGTTTTGTGCCAGAGAGCATGTGTGCACTTGGGCATGCAAGTAAGAAAGAGAAAAGGCCTCTCCAGTGTGGCCTGGTCTCGCTCCTATCCTTTTTCTTGCAGTTCTCAATCCCATCAGGGTCCTGGATATGCCCAATGTGGTTTTTTAATTATTATTATAATTTTTTTAAGTTGCCACAGGGCCCATACATTCACCAGAGAGAGAGAGAGAGAGAGAGACCTTGGCAGAGCATGACCACTCTGCAGTCAGCTTGCCTCCGCTTCTCTGTCCTGTCAGGATCTTGGGCACACATATGTCCAGTGTGGTTTTCAAGCCACTCAGGTGGGGACTTAGACCCTCGTCAGCCATGTGGGATTCAACTTCTGCACAGTGCTTACCTGCTACACTATGGGCTGCCTAAAAGCCACTTTCAATAATAATATTCTGTGTAGGGCCAACAGGTGGCATGGTAGTTAAGGTGCTGGATCCCACATGGCCAACAGCATAGTTTGAGTCTTGTACCCAGTGACTTAAAAAATAACACCGACTTCATATGTGCATGTACGAAATAACACCGACTTCATATGCGCATGTACGCCAAATCCCAAGGGAGAATGGAGGAAAAGGGATTGTGGTGTGGCCATCTCCCTGGGGGTAATTTCTTCCTTTTCCTGTCTCTCTGTCTTTCTCCCATTAGCACACACACCTTATGGCAAAAATCTAAAAATAATAATAATAATCATATATCCTGTGAAGTTAGAGTTAAATTGAAGTTATCTTTTGGTGAACAGATGGATTCCAGATATTACCTACTTTTATATTAAAGCTGACAAATTAAGCCAAAATCTCTCACCTTATGATGTGTCTTCTTTTTATTTATTTATTTATTTACTTTTTAGAATGATTTTTGCTATATGGCATGTGTGCTCCTAGAGAGACACAAAGTCAGGGAGATAGAAAGCTAAAAATCATCCCCCAGGGGAGATGGCCACGCCGCAATCCCTTCTCCATTCTCCTCTCAGAATCTTGGGCATACACACACATGTGCCTGGTGTGAGTTTAAGCTACCGGGTCTGGGACTTGAACCGTGGTCCATTACATGGAAGTCCAGTGACATAGCCATTTTGCCAACTGCTGGTCCCTATTTATTGATCTTCTAATATGGAATAGTGAGAGTATCAAGATTATTTAGACAGTTCTTCACGGATTGGCAAAGGTTATGCTTACTGATAGAAATAAAAACAGAAACAAAATAATTACTTTTATATTTAATGAGTGCTATAGTAATGATAGCAGTTACTTTTGAGCAATTATTGTATGCCAAGATCCGAGTTGAGAGATTGCAATATCCATATCTAAAACCTTTGGAGATTGTAGTTTAGAGAGGTTAAGTAACTTGACTAAAATTAGATAGGTGAAGAGCTAGTTTTATATTCCAAACCTATTTGACTTCAAAGGCTACACCTTTAACTAGTCCTACCCAGTCTCCACAGAATTAAGTATTGGATCGTTGGGAAAGTCATGACACATTTTTGCATAGAAAAACATAGGAAAATATGTCATGACTTTCCTGACAATCTAATAGTAGGTATAGTTGTTGCCCAGAGTAGAAAGGGGTCCTTTTGGAGCAAATAAATGAAGGTATGTTCTAGAAGTAGTAATGCCACTTTTTTTTTTTTTTTTAGTTTTTTTTTTTTTT